CTGTTCTACTGTTCTTTTGGTTTCTATTTCATCCATTTCTGCTCTGATCTTTATTATTTCTCTTCTCCTGCTGGGTTTAGGCTTTAATTTGCTGTTTTTTCTCCAGCTCCTTTAGGTGTAGGGTTAGGTTGTGTATTTGAGAACTTTCTTGTTTCTTGAGAAAGGCTTGTATTGCTATATACTTTCTTCTTAGGACTGCCTTTGCTGCATTCCAAAGATTTTGAACAGTTGTGTTTTCATTTTCATTTGTTTCCAGGAATTTTTTTAATTCTTTTTTAATTTCCTCGTTGACCCATTCATTCTTTAGTAGGATGCTCTTTAGCCTGCATGTATTTGAGCTCTTTCCGACTTTCCTCTTGTGATTGAGTTCTAGTTTCAAAGCATTGTGGTCTGAAAATATGCAAGGAATAATCCCAATCGTTTGGGACTGGTTGAGACCTGATTTGTGACCTAGGATGTGATCTATTCTGGAGAATGTTTCATGGGCTCTCAAGAAGGAAGTGTATTCTGTTGCTTTGGGATGGAATGTCTTGAATATATCTATGAAGTCCATTTGGTCCAGTGTGTCATTTAAAGTCTTTATTTCCTTGTTGATCTTTTGCTTAGATGATCTGTCCATTTCAGTCAGGGGAGTTGTTAAATCCCCCACTATTATTGTATTGTTGTCAATGTGTTTCTTTGCTTTGTTATTAACAGCCACTTATATAAGTGGCTCTTCCCATGTTAGGGGCATAGATATTTACAATTGTTAAATCTTCTTTTGGATATACCCTTTTAGTAGGATATAGTAGGATATAGTGTCCTTCCTCATCTCTTATTATAGTCTTTGGTTTAAAATCTAATTTGTCTGATATAAGGATTGCCACCCCAGCTTTCTTTTGGTGTCCATTAGCATGGTAAATCGTTTTCCACCCCCTCACTTTCAATCTGGGGGTGTCTTTGGGTCTGAAATGAGTCTCTTGCAGACAGCATATCGATGGGTCTTGTTTTTTAATCCAAATGATAGCCTGTCTTTTGATTGGCGCATTTAGCCCATTTACATTCAGGGTAACTATTGAAAGACGTGAATTTAGTGGCATTATATTGCCTGTAAGGTGACTGTTACTTTATATTGTCTGTGTTTCTTTCTGGTCTATGTTGCTTTTAGTCTCTCTCTTTGCTTAGAGGACCCTTTTCAATATTTCTTGTAGGGCTGGTTTCATGTTTGCAAATTCCTTTAGTTTTTGTTTATCCTAGAGTTCTTTATCTCTCCTTCTATTTTCAATGACAGCCTAGCTGGATATTGTATTCTTGGCTGCATATTTTTCACATTTAGTGCTCTGAATACATCATGCCAGTCCTTTCTGGCCTGCCAGGTCTCTGTTGATAGGTCTGTTGCCAATCTAATGTTTCTACCATTGGTAGGTTACAGATCTCTTCTCCCGAGCTGCTTTCAGGATTTTCTTTTTGTCTCTGAGAGTTGTAAGTTTTACTATTAGATGTTGGGGTGTTGACCTATTTTTATTGATTTTGAGAGGGGTTCTCTGTGCCTACTGGATTTTGATGCCTGTTTCCTTCCCCAAATTAGGGAAGTTCTCTGCTATAATTTGCTCCAATATACATTCTGCCCTTCTCTCTCTTTCTTCTTCTTCTGGGATCCCAATTATTCTAATGTTGTTTCATCTTATGGTATTGCTTATCTCTTGAATTTTGCCCTCGTGATCCTGTAGTTGTTATGTCTCTTTTTAGCAGCTTCTTTATTTTCCATCATTTGGTCTTCTTTATCACTAATTCTCTCTTCTGCCCTATTTATCCTAGCAGTTAGTGCCACATTTTTTCTTGCACCTCATTATTAGCCTTTTGATTTCAACTTGGTTAGATTTTAGTTCTTTTATTTTTCCAGAAAGGGTTTCTCTAATAACTTCCATGCTTTTTTCAAGCCCAGCTAGTATCTTTAAAATCATCATTCTGAACTCTAGTTCCAACATCATACTAATGTCCATATTGAGTAGGTCTCTGGCAGTCGGTACTGCCTCTTGTTTTTTTCATTGAGGTGATTTTTTTTCTGTCTTGTTATTTTGTCCAGGGGAGAATAGATGAATGAGAGAACAAAATGCTAACAGGGTAACAACGTCCCCAGAAAATATACTCTAAACAAGTCAGGAAAGAACTTCCAGAAATTGGTCACTTTTCTGTTCAGAGAGTTGTTGCTATTCTTTTGTTTGATCTCCTGTGAGTTCGTAGGTGTTCAGAATGGTTTGATCCCTATCCAGCTGAATTCCTGGGACCAGACAAAATCCAGGTCTCCTACTCCTCTCCCATCTTTTTCTGCCCCCTAATTCTCATGTTTGTACATTCACTAATGTACTTTTATTATTGGTTTTTAATTGACTTCCATGGTATTCAGAGAACATAATTCATATGATTTCAATCCTTTTCAATTTCTTTAGACTGTCTTGGCCTCACATATGCATGGAGAAGAATTATCTTGCTATTGTTGGATAGAGTGTTCTACAGATATCTGTTAGGTCTAATTCCTTTGTAGTGTTCTAATTTTGTATTTCCTTACTGATTTATCTGTTCTGTCCATTATTGAAAGTAGACAAAAATAATACCTGACAAAAATCAGGTATTATTTTTGTCTATTTCTTCTGCCAGTTGTTATTTCATAGATTTTGGTGTTTCTTCTTAGGGAACACATTTATAACCAATATTTTCTTCACAGATTGACTCTCTTATCATTGTAAAAATTCTTTGGTTGTCGTTAGTAATAATTTTTTTTCTTATACTGCATTTTTGTGATGTTGGTATAGGCACTCCAGTTTTCTTTGTGTTATTGCTCTGGGTTTTGTATTCCCTCATTGTGGATCACTATGAGAGGGGTGGCATTTGTGCCTCAGCCTCTCCTACCAAATTCTAAGAGGGTTTTTTCTCCTTTGCTTAGTGTGTAGGAGTTGCTCAATTAGTTTTTAGTTTTTTTGTGATGAAATTTTTAAATATGGAACTGAAGATTTGGTGTGCCTGTGGAGGAGGTAAGTTCAGAATCTTCCTACGTTGCCATCTTGAATTGGAACTTCTATCCCCATTAGCATTTTAAAGATGTTACCCTGTTGTCATATGGTTTACATATTTTTCTAAAGAAAATCTGTCAAATTGTGTCTCTTTTCTCTTTGTGCCATCAGGATTTTCCCTGTTTTGTTCTTTTTTTTTACCAGTGTTCATATCATATGTTTGGATGTATTTGTGTATGTGTGTGTGCTTAATTCTTCTTAATGTTCTGTGAGTTTCTTGGAACTTGGTGTAAATACTGTATTATTATACAGATTTTCTTAAAATTTCAATTTACATTTAATTATCTCTCCATAAAATTACTCCAATATATTTATTTTTGATACTTTTCTTTCTTGCATATTTATATCCTTTATAATTAATTTTCATATATATGCATCATTTTTCTCTTTCTCAACTATTTTAATATAGGTAGATATCTTTATCTTATATTTTTTCTTGAGTGATAAAAACAGTTCTAGTTAATTTTTTTTCATTTTCTTCAATCTTTGCTTTTTTGAATCCCTGCTTTCAGTCTAAAATGCTTTTTGTATAGATACTATTATTATCCATCTTTTTCTTTTGTTAAGTGTATGAAATGACAGACTAACCACTTTAAGTCAGAAACTGATATATATTAAGCTTTGGTTAGAGTTTAAATAAAGTCTATCTAGTTCACTGTTGTTTCTATGGCATAACTCTTCAGGGTTTTCCACTGAGAGTTGTTATTTTACTGAGACTCCTTCCCTTGGCAGATATGTAACCACAACACCGAAACTGCAGAAAAATCCACACTGCTTTATGGAAGTCATCTCCTTATATCTTATTTTATTTTGTCATTTAAAATTTTTTTTATTTAAAATCATTTCACATATAGTGTATTACTAGTTTCAGAGGTAGAGTTTAGTGATTCAACAGTTGTATATAACACCCAGTGCTCATTACATCAAGTGCCCTCCTTAATGCCCATCACCCAGTTACCCCATTCCCCCACAGACTTCCCCTCCAGGAACCTTCAGTTTGTTTCCTATCGTTAAGAATCTCTTATGGTTTAATCTCCTACTCTTCACATGTTTAGAAGCAATAAAAAGCTTTGAGGGTAGAATAAGCTATATGTTGAGGACCCTTGGACATTTAATTTTATTACTATAGTTATAAAGATCTTTCAACTTTGGCCTAATTTTATGTCCACCATCAAAGGCCTGCTTCACTAGCTCAGCATACAATTTTGACTTCTCACCCATAACCAGGTTTGCAAATGACGTCTGGGATAAAATAAACTGCTTATTTTCAGGTCACCAGAGCCTATAGGAGTTTCAGCTGAGATCCTGATATGTCCATTGTGGATCCTCTTAGGTGTGCCATTTTTCTTCAGCACCACAAAGCAGTGGTTAAATCTGCCTATCAAAGGTTTTTGCATTAATCTTTCAACTATAGTAGAACTAATGGAGGTTATAATAAATAAACTGCTCTTTAAGTAGGTTAGCTCTTATGAGAATTGAACACATCATGTGCATGGATTGGATAGTGAATGTAAAAATTATGACTCCCCAGGATTTTTTGGTTTGAGAAAAATATGGTGAAAAAATAAGATATTAGTTTCATAGTTTGACTTGACTTCATTTCACTTGAAATAAAAAGACATTTATGCAAAATAGGTTCTTGACCAATAAGTTAAATTTTAGTTTCTTATACACTTATACATATCTAGACTTACTAAAAATCAACAAAATGAACTGCACACCATGGTTAAATTTAAGGTATCTCTTTGGATAGTAGACAGAAATGCTGTCAATTTTTAAATATTTCATTGAAATGATTTTATGTGATCTTAAATCTAGTTTTGTTTTCAATTTATGTTATGATCATATTTTCTACAATATATTTTAGACCATTTCAGAATTTCAGATATATTCATAAATTATTTTAAATTAATATAAGCTCAATATGACTAACCACACATTTTTTTTCAGGTGCAGAATTTGGTCCTGAAGAGTGTTATTCTCACCTTAATTCTAAGGCTGATCAATCTGGGAACTGTGGCTCAGGTCCTTCAGGATACATACAGTGTAAAACTAAGTATGCTTTAAGAAATCTATGTGAGAAACTCTATTTGTTGCTTTAAATTAGAAAATACCACCAGATAATTAAGCTTATGAGTAATTAGAATATTACTTGATTATGAAGTAAGACTATAAATTATAAATGTCTTTAATAGAATATTTTTACTGCTCTTTCTCAGATATTCACTTATCCCTTGTACTTTCCCACAGAGTGTTTAATTTATATAAGTACATTAAAAACAGTTAGGCAGACTGATCATTCTTATTTTGCATACTGTCATTTTAATTTTACAAAGGATGAGCATTCTTATAGTGATGAAATGACAATTCATGAATTTTTACTATCCAGTAAGTAAAGCACAGTGTTTAAGAACATGTGCTCTATAGCCATACATCTTTGTTTCAAATCCTGATCCCACTGCTTACCTACTTGTGTGATATGTGCTTCATTTTCTAATATGTAAAATATGAATATTAATTCCACTAACACCATTGGGTGATGCCAATGTGGAATTTAGATACTCTATTGAGAGTATTTAGAGTGGGACTGACACATAGTATGCACTATATGAAAGTTAATTATTAAATATTATAATTAATATAAATATTAGAACTAGAATGTTACTAGTTATTAGAATGTTATTATAATATTTTATTTTGATATGATTTCAAAATTGGTTCGATAGTAAAAGTAAAAATTCTGTAAAACACTTCTAGTTTGCATGAATAGTACAGATTCCCCATATACCTTTACCCAGGTTTACCAATTGTTTACATTTTGCCCATTTGCTTTGTCCTTCTGTTTTTTCCCAACTTTCTTGTCCTGTCTTCAAAATGATTTTCCCAAACCATTTGAAAGAATATTGAAAACTATCCTTCTTTACCCCTAAATAAATCATGTGTCTTTCCTGAGAATACAGATATTTTCTTACATAACTATATTGTAGCTATGAAACATGGTTAGTATTAAAACTTACTTTAATTGTCTCAGTGAAGTATTTAGAGTTATTTTGCCTTTTTCAGGAACAAACCCAGTCATATAATTGCATTTAGTCATAATGTATTTTTAAGCTTTAATCTAGAAAATTTTCTTTGTTTTAATTTTTTTCTTCATAGGTCTTTTTTTTAATGCTATGGAGTAATTGTTTTAAAAATTTCCCTCAATTTGGTTTTGATGGATATTTTTCATAATTAGATTCATATTAAGCATTTTGGCATGATTACCACTGAAGTGATGTATACCTTAGTGAAATTTTAAAGGGTACATGGCATTTTTTCTCAATCTTGGATATTTTAGGTTAAATTATATTGAGACCATGGACACACTCTGTTCCTCTTCAAACTTTGACCCACTAAGTTTTAAAATCCATTGATGATTTCTAACTCCATTATTGACTCTGCCTGTAAGCTAGAAATGTACTGTAGGAAGTATTCCCTTATTATATTTGTTTGTTTACATGTTTATTTATGTCAGTTCAGACTCAGCAATTGTTGTTTTATTCAATGGTATAGAATACATTACTGTTATTATTTATTCTGATTCTTTTTCAAATTGTCTCAGTTTTGGCTACTGAGAGTCTCTTATTTGGCCACAGTGTTTTTTTGAAAAGTATATATGACTCTGTAAGAACTTCCAAATTTTTCTAGCACAAAATGTTCTAGGCTCCTGTTATACTTTTCCTACCCCTACTCTGGATTCAGCTATTTATCCAAGTAGCCCATATACCTTTTAGTAGAGAATAATATTTAAAAAATAAATATCTGGGCACCAGGTGTGCTTATTTCCACTGTCTTTAATTACCTCTAAGCCCTCTTAGTCAATAGACTAAGAACATACATGTACTATATGCACATACATGTATCACACAATTATATGTTCACGTATACCTCTGTATTTAAAACATGAACATAAAGTGATAATTTCATTTTGATTAAACACCACAAAGTGCATTTCAGTGCATTTATAAGTTGCCTTTTCATATGTTCCAGCTCAAAATACATATAAGTTGTTTCAAAATTGCTAAAATTGCGTTCACAAATTCCATATACTGACTAAAGAAAAACTTCCAGTTATCATGACTGTATTTTCCTTTAAATCATTGATAATTTTTATATTAGCTGCTATACAGTGCTTCTCTGCTAATTGCAATATTTAGGTCATTTTGACATTGGTATCTACTGATTTATTTGCTCCTTGACTATGTCACACTTTATTTTTATGATATGTTTAGCAATTATTTTGACTTTATGTTGGAGACAATGAATAATACGTAATGGAAACTTTGCATTCATTTATGCTTTCTGAAAGCTATAGAGTTTTGTTATGGAAGGGATTTAACATAGTTGGACTCATACTATAAACAATACCTCTCTGTGAGCAGCAGCTGAAATACTGTTTATTACTTTATGCCTCTTAAGATGCTTCTTATGAACTCCCTGGAGTCTTCACTGCACATGCTCAGTTCAGTAGTCAGCCAGGATTTAGGATGAATTTTATGCACACTTTAATGCTGAGTAACTTTTAATTTCCAGTCACCTAATCGACATGAGGCCCATTTTTAGTTCTGCACTCTGATTATTCAAGCTAAGCTATTGAATGTTCCGTATTGAATTAAAAAATTCCCAATCCACAATACCTCATGATTTAGTTCCCATTCTTAAGGCTCTATTGTCGTATAATTCTTCCCTTTCTGGTTATATTCCATTGCCTTCTCTGTGTGTATGTGTGTTTCAGATTAGAATGCTACCCTTACTGGAATCCACTTCAACCCACTCTTTGTAGAAATGATTTTAGATCAGGTTCTGTGTCAATGCCTTCCAGCCAAAAATCACAGGAACACACTTGTAGTTGAACAAGTTGGGTTTATTACATGTACCGATCAGTGGAATTATACTCTATGGGAAACTGTACAACATCTTGGTTCCAGAGTTTTAGAAACCTTTTATAGGATTTGGGTTTGCATTAAGTGGTTTTCAACAGGATTTTAGGAAGTGGATCTTTCTTCTGAATTGGATTAAGCTAAATAAAAATTTTATGACATAACATATACTATCAATAGATGCTCACATTATCCATCAGACATAATTTTCAAGATACCCATTTTGTTAAAATACTGCATATACCTTAAATAATGTAAATAGTGATAACTCTACAGTATATAATTCATTGACTTTTGTTAATCTAACTTTAGCTCTTGAAATCTTAATTTTTTAAGTTTTTATTTAAACTCTACTTAATATACAGTATATTAGTTTTAGGTATACAATTTAGTGATTCAACACATATACAACAACTGGTGCTCATCACAACAAGTGCACTCCTTAATCCCCATCACCTATTGAACCCATCTCCCTCCATCCACCTCCCCTCTGGTAACCATCGTTTGTTCTCTATAGTTAAGTTCTTGGTTTTCCTCTCTCTATTTTTTTCCGCTATGCTCATTTGCTTTGTTTCTTAATTTGCATATATGAATGAAATCATACAGTAATTGTCTTTCACTGATTGACTTATTTCACTTAGCCTAATACTCTAGCTTGATCCACATCATTGCAGATGGCAAGATTTCATTCTTTTTTATGGCTGAGTAATATTCCTTTATATATATATAGGCAAGGGGAACAGAAACAAAAATATATATACATTTATATATACACATATGCTAGCCATCTGTATGTATTCTTTGGAAAAGTGTCTATTCACGTCTTCTGCCTATTTTTTAACCGGATTATTTGTTTTTTGAGTCTTGAATTGTATCAGTCCTTTATGTGTTTTGGATACTAACCCTTTATTGGATATGTCATTTGCAAACATCTTCTCCATTATGAAGTTTGCCTTTAAGTTTTGTTGATGGTTTCCTTTGCTGTGCAGAAGCTTTTTATTTTGCTGAAATCCCCATAATTTTTTTTTTTTGCTTTTGTTCCCCTTGCCTCAGCAGACATATGCAGTTAGAAGTTGCTTGCCCAGTGTCAAAGAGGTTACTGCCTATTTTCTTCTCTAGGATTTTGATATTCCTGTCTCACATTTAGATTTTTCATCCATTTTGAATTTGTTTTGTGTATTATGTAAGGAAGTGGTCCAGTTTCATTTTTCTGCATGTTGCTGTCCAGTTTTCCTAACACCATTCCTTAAAGAGACTGTCTTTTTCGCATTGGACATTCCTTCCTGCTTTGTTGAAGATTAATTGACCATTTAATTGTGGGTTCATTTCTGGGTTTTCTATTCTGTTCTGTTGATTTATGTATGTATTTTTGTGCCAGTACCATACTGTTTGGATTACTACAGCTTTGTAATATAACTTTAAGTCCAGAATTGTGATGCCTCCAGCTTTTGCTTTTCTCTTTTAAGTTTGCTTAGGCTATTCAGGGTCTTTTGTGATTCCATACAAATTTTAGAATTGTTTGTTCTAGTTCTGTGAAAAATGCTGGTGGTATTTTGATAGGGATTGATTTGAATGTGTAGATTGCTTTGGGTAATATATACATTTTAACAATATTTGTTCTTCCAACCCATGAGCATGGAATGGTTTTCCATTTCTTTGTGTCATCTTCAATTTCTTTCATCAGTGTTCTAGTTTTCAGAGTACAGGTCTTTTACCTTTTTGGTTAGGTTTATTTTTATGTATCTAATTATTTCAAGTGCAATTGTAAATGGGATTGAATCTTTATTTTCTCTTTCTGCTGCTTTATTATTTTTGTATAGAAATGTGACAGATTTCTGTATATTGATTTTGTATCCTGTGATTTTACCTAATTTGGGTATTAGTACTATCAGTTTTTTGGAGTCTCAAGTCTTTTCTATACAGTATCATGTCATCTGCAAATAGTAAAAGTTTTATTTCTTCCTTGCTGATTTAGATGCCTTTTCTTTGTTTGTCTTTTTCTTTCTCTCTTTCTTCCTTTATTTTTCTTCTCTTCTCTTTTCTTTTCTTCTCTTTCCTCCTCCTTCTCTTTCTTTTTCTTTTTTTTGTCTTATTGCTGTGGCTAGACTTCCAGTACTATGTTAAATAACAGTGTTGAGAGTGGGCATCCCTGTCTTGTTCCTGACTGTGGTGAAGAAAAGCTCTAAGTTTTTCCCCCATTGAGAATGATATTAGCTGTGGTTTTTCATAAATGGCCTTGATTATGTTGAGGTTCCCTCTAATCCTACTTCTTTGAGGGTTTTTATCATGAATGGATGTTGTAGTTTGAGTATTTTTTTCCTGCATCTATTGAAATGATCATATGGTTCTTTTCCTTTCTTTTACTAATGTGGTGTTTTACATTGATTGATTTCTCACTTTCTGTAAATATTTGTGTAGAATTATTTTTTCTTTATTCATTTCATAGAATTTATCACTAGAGCCATGTGGCTTTGGGCTTTTCTTTGTAATTGGAGAGCACATTTAGATTCTAGGCAAATTTAAAGTTTTCACTGGTGTTACTTCTCATCAGTCCTTCTCAGGTCCCTCTAGCATGTGCATGTAGCCTCTCTGTCAGCTAGGGATGTGATATAAGGAGAGTTTATCACTACCCTTTATGGAGCCATTATTTCCAGGATCATGCCTTTAATTTCTGTCTGATCTATCACTAACTCCAACTGGGATCTTAACCTTGGGCTCACAGTACTTCTGGCTTTACAGTCTTTTCCTACCTTATTTGCTACTTTTATTCGAAGTGATGATGGGTGAGATTTTTTGTCCTCTTCACCAAATCTAGAACCACTCCTCTGACATTTAATTTAAAGGTTTTCATGGCCAGCCCTGTCCTGGTAAAATAACAGTATCAACTGATCTGGGACAGGGCATAGGAGCAGACTCAGCAAAAAAGACCACACCTCCCACTATTCTTACTTGATTTTATGGCAACTTTTCATAAATGATTCTCGCTTTTTTGTTTGTTTTGATCAGTTTTTATAGCCCTGAAATGGTGGTTTTGACAAATTTGCCCAGTTTTATATTTGTTTTGGGGGTAGATGATTTAAATATATCTTCTCTCTCTCATATAGATTTGTCAGCACAATGTTCTTGGTTCTAACTTACCACAAAATCTAGCACTGATCCATGATGATAAATACTGTCACCTAACTAGGAATAAAAAGGGACTTCCTCAATCTGATAAAGTTATATACATTTTGTACTTCGGCAAGCTTCCATCTAGGATAAGTTCCTTTCAGTGTGAAGAACTCGGTTTATATTTTCTTTAGTTCAGGACTGCTGGTGACAAATTTTCTTAAATATTGTCTGAAAATGCCATGTTTCAAGTTGAAAGATAGTTTCTCTGCATACAGAGTGGGAAGACAATTTGTTTCTTTTTTGAGTTTGTCATTCAATAATCTTCTGGTCATTGTTTTTCTTAGAAAGTCAATCTTAAATTTTATTATTCCTCTTGTTTTTAATGCTTTTTTTTATTCTCATTGCTTTTATAACTTTTTCTGTATTTTACAGCACTATCCTTATGATGTATCTTTCATGGTTTTATTTTAATACTTATTGTGTAGAATGTTTTTTGAATGTGGGTCTCAATGTCTTGTCTATTTGGAACCCATAATCCTGAGAGTAGGTATTATGTTTGAACAATTGAAAATAAAATCCAATGAGATTGGTAATTAGATGAACTTTACCAATTTTTAAAAATGGAATAAACTTAGAATTGCTTCTCTTTAAAAATCAAAAAAAGTGAAGGAATTATTACCAAAAAGTGATCAGGCTAACTGGGAAGTAGTTAAAATTATTAAAGTATTCAGTTATTTTTAACAATGCAGGCAAGGCCTTTATACTTTTTGTTATTTTACAGTAAATTGCATGCATCTTTTTGCAAGCCTTAAATGCTTTATCTAGATCTTTTTGCCTTATAAATGATATTCTTATATTTCTTTTTATTGAAGTCTAATGATTTCATTTATTCATAAATTATAGGGATCTGATGTGTGGAAAATTAATATGTCAATATAAAAATGAAAAAATAATTGAAATTCCAAATGCTACTGCTATTTATGCAAATATAAGTGGACACATCTGCGTTGCTTTGGATTTTCCACAAGGTTTTAGAAATGGCAAAATGATGTGGGTAAAAGAAGGAACTGTTTGTGGGGTTAATAAGGTATGTGGCCTTTTGTTAAATTCCTAATATTTATTTTATTTTATCCCTAATATTTTTACTCTATTTACTCTATTTTCAAATGCATGTTTAATATTTTTCTCATAATTTAATTGCATGTTTGATTTCAAAAATGAAAAAAGAAAACTATAAAAATAAGAAAAAAATTAATCTGCATTCACACACAGATTATTTTACTATGAACATTTTATTGGCTATTTCATACTTTATTCATGGAAATTATGTATATTCATGGATTTGAGAATCATACTGTTTATTCTCTGTATTTTATTAACTTGTCTCATATTACATAGATGGTACTAATGCCATAAATTATCTTTTCCTATAATTACTTTAAAATAGCTGTTAAAATAATATACACTCATTTTTGTGATGAAAATAATAAACACACTAAAGCAAAAATCTTTCAAAAGCACATACCTGAGATGTAACTACTCTCCATTTTCATGAATCTTCCAACAAACCTTTATTTATATAACCATATACACAAATATAGATACTTATTTTTTTTAAAGATTTACTTATTTATTTATTTGAGAGAGAGAATGAGATAGAGAGAGAGAACATGAGAGAGGGGAGGGTCAGAGGGAGAAGCAGACTCCCTGCTGAGCAGGGAGCCCGATGCGGGACTCGATCCCAGGACTCCAGGATCATGACCTGAGCTGAAGGCAATGGCTTAACCGACTGAGCCACCCAGGCGCCCTATAGATACTTATTATACTATATTTTATATATATATAATTCTTGAATTTTTATTGAAGTATAGTTGACATACAACATTACATTGCTTTCAGGTGTATAACCGTGATTTGGAAAGCCTATACATTAAGCTATGCTCACAACAAGGGTAGCTACCATTTATCACCAACAGTTTCTCTCACTGTTCTTCACCCATTTGGCCATCTCCTCTCTACCCTGCCCTGGCAACCATCAGTTTGTTCTCTGTATTTATGGGGCTACTTCTGCTGTTTGTTTATTTATTTATTTTGTTTTTCAGATTCCTTAAATCAGTGAAATCATACAATATTTGTCTTTCTCTGCCTGACTTATTTCACTTAGCATAATACACTCTAGGTCCACTCACGTTGTCACAAATGGCAAGATCTCATTCTCTTTTATGGATGACTAATATTCTATTCTCTCTCCCTCTCTTTCTCTCTGTATATATATAATCTCACATTTTCTTTATCTATTCATTCATCCATGGATAAACCCTAGAGTTGTTTCCACATCTTGACTATTATAGATAATGCTGCAATAAACATAGGGATGAATATATCTTTTTGAAATAATGTTTTCATTTTGTTTGGGTAAATATCCAGTAGAGGAATTTCTTGATCATATGGTATTTCTATTTTTAACTTTTTGAGGAACATCCATACTGTTTTCCACAGTGACTGCACCAGTTTACATTCCTCTCAACAGTGCATGAGCGTTCCCTTTTCTCCACACTCTTGCTAACACTTTTTCTTTATCTTTTTGATACTAGTCTTTCTGACAGGTGTGAGATGATAACTCATTGTGGTTTTGATTTGCATTTCCCTGATGATTAGTGATGTTGAACATCTTTTCATGTGTCTCCTGGCCATCTGTACAGAGTCTTAAATACAGACAACAAACTGGGTGGTTGTTCCCAGAGGAGAGGTGGTTTGGGGGATTGTTTAAAATAGACAAAGTGGACGAAGAGATACAAACTTCCAGTTATAAAATAAATGTCATGGAGATAAAAAGTACAGCATGGGGTAGGGGGTGCCTGGCTGTTGAACATCCAACTCTTAGTTTCAGCTCAGGTCATGATCTCATGGGTGGTGAGATAGAGCCTCACATTGGGCTCTCTGCTCAGCAGGGAATCTGCGTGAAGATTGTCTCCCTTTGCCACTCCCCCAACTTGTGCACCCACTCACCCTCTCTCTCATTCAGATAAATAAATCTTTTTAAAGTATACCATAGGGAATATATCTAATAATACTGTAATAACAATATATGGTGATAGATGGTTTTAAACTTATTATGGTGAGCATTGAATAATATTTAGAACTGTCAAAGCACTATGTTGTACACCTGAAACTAATAAAACATTGTATGTTAATCATGCTTCAATAAAGATATATATGTATTATTTTATCTGATAATCATGGAAATATTTGCCATACATATTAAAGTCCTATTACAACCTATCTTTACTAATGTTTAATTTAAAAACTTAGGATGTAAAAAAGTATCCAAAATTGTCACCCCAAATTCTCATAAAAAACTCATTTTTAAAACTTTGTAATAAGTTTTAATTTTGTGAAATTTATTTCAAAAATATTTCCCAAATTACTGCCTAAAGTGTCTTGAATTTTTAATTCCCCATTATTTCTAAACAGTCAAACATAGGCTATATGAATTAGGAATTGCACAAGAAACAACATCCACTAAGAATGGCTTAAACAGTTGATGGTTTATTCTTTCCCATCATGTTAAAAAATGTGGATTGTTTATCCAGAGAAGTTAAGGGGTTCCATGTCATCAATGATCTAGATTCAGTCTAATTTTCAGCTATAGATCCTGTACAGTAATACTCTCCTTGGTGCTTTGAAGATGATTGATGGAACTCCAACTATCTCCACATTTTAAGAAGGATTTTTTGAAAGAGCTAAAGGGAAAAAAGGATGCATGCCATTTTTATTCACCACAGTTAGTGAACAAGATGAGGGAAATCTGGTAGTCACTACTCTGCTACAGTATTCATAACCAAGGTGATGCTTTATCAAATAAGACATCTATGTCAGCAGACTTAAACCACTCTACTGTTCATCATTAAAGAGCAACGCATATAATATTGTAAAAGTTTCTGTTTCTGTAGGGAGATACAGGTGCTGGGTAGAGATTATGGGAGGCATTTTCCAAATGGTAGCTGCAAAACTTTGGCTTCATATATATCATGTATTTCTATTAGCAAAAGATAATCAAGCCAGCTCCATGTTAGTGTTCTAATAATTTTTTTGGTATTCTGAAAATGAGAGCATCATTGTTTTTTAAATAATATATAAATGTTCGTTTGGATTTTAATGAATTCATTGTCACAAGAAATTTAGTAATTCTTTCTGTTTTTAAAGAAATAGTGGAAGATACTGAGTCTTAAACATATTGTTTCAATTCTCAGACATTAGTGACTAAGTATGAAAAATAGTAAATGTTATTAACCTACTTGTACACAGTTAATTTCAAAAGGAATATAACAAGGATATGCCAAGATCTGTATTTAAAAGTCTTGATCTTGAAATTCAAATAGAAATGGTAAGCCCAAAATCTGATATGAAAATGTTCTGTCAAAAGAAACAAGCACAGAGGTGCATGGATGGCTCAGTCCGTTAAGCATCTGCTTTTGGCTCAGTTCCTGATCCTGGGGTCCTGAGATTGAGCCCCACATTGGGTTCCCTGCTCAGTGGGGTGTCTTCTCCTCCTCCCTCTGTCCCTCTCCCACTCCTGCTCTCTCTCTTTCTCACTCTCAAATAAATAAAATCTTTTTAAAAAAGAAATAAGCACAGATACTCATTACATTATTTGAGGATGGACAATCAGGGTAGAAAATATCAACGCTTGATTCTGAGGGAGAAACTGAAGGAGTCATAAAATAATACGGAGGAAACAAATTCCTGACAATTGCCATCATTTTTACTATTAAACATCCTTACTATGGCTGGCCACAATGGGAGACAGGAATGACAGCACTGAAAATAGAAATGATGATAATTATGAGTACTCCAAAACTTTGGTTTTATTTGTTTTTCCTTGAGTAAAAATGTAAAAGATTAAGGTATGAAAAAATTTCTACAATGTGTGCAGGGTAATTTTTATTTGCCTGTTCTTTCAGAATGGAAAACAGGAATTGGTTTCAAGTTGCTAAAACATAAACTATTTGTATGCTCACATAAAAGATTAAAGCCCTGAAGATATACACAAGTCAATATATCTCACTACTGATGGTAACGAAACAGATTGTTGGAAGTCACCTGGCTGGGTCTGGAAAATCATACTGACTGTGCTAAATAAAACTCCAGGCGTAATAAATTTTAATAGCCAAAATTGTATAACATTTAAAATGGTGCTCTTTTAGGATGCCCTTTTCTTATTTTCAAATAGGTTTTTTATTATAAGAAGTGAATTTCAATTTTTTTTTTCAAAACATTTCTGTGTGGATTGATTTGACTTATCTGGCATTTTATTTACATTTAACCACTTTATAGTATGTATTAAATAAATATTCTGCTTTTCCCCCCACCCTTTCAACTGTGGAAAATAATTCAGTTTGTTTAGATTGTATATTTCCCATATATTAACAAAGAGTATATTATCTTTTAGGATGACGTGGGCTGCTGTGAATAGAAGTACATACTGTTCTCACAATATGAGTTTAGTGATTGTATCTCCTATCTTAGTTTTTAAAACACTGAATATAGAATACATACTATTTTCTGTGGTAAAATATGCATAGCATAAAATTTACCCCCTTAATCATTTTCAAGAGTGCAGTTCAGGAACACAAGTACATTCACATTGTTGTGCAACCACCATCACTATCCATCTCCAGAAAATTTTCATCATTATAAACTGAAACTCTGTACGTGTTAAACTATAACTCTCCAATGAGCCTTCCCCACAGCCCTGGTAATCACTATTCTACTTTCTGTCTCTATAACTTTGCATATTCTAGGTACCTAATCCAAGTGGAATCATACAGTATTTATCCTTTTAAGTCTGATTTATTTCACCTGACACAATGTTTTCAAATTCATCCATTTTGTTGTTGTATCAAAATTTCATTCCTTTTTAAGGCTGAATAATATTCCATTGCATGTTTATACCATACGTTGCTTATCCTTTTATCCATAAATGGATATTTGGTTTGTTTCATCTTTTGGCTATTGTAAATAAGGTATCTACCACTATTGGTGTACAAATCTCTGTTCAGATCACTGTTTTCCATTATTTTGATT